CTGTAGCGACAAAAATACTTGCGAGTGCCTCTGTCTAGCTGAAAGAATTACAGGTTGTCTTTTTTATGGCAGTTGGGACACTACTGACCCTAAGCAACAAAATCTCAATATACACAAGGAAAAATTATATACATATCTGAATGAAATAAGACATCATTGGCTTTCACACGCGCACTCTCTCTGCATGCCTTTCAACCAAAGCAGGTGAAGCTTTTGGCAGTATACAGGAAAAAAAAATCCTATTACAGGGTTTTGCATTTACATAGTTAATTACAAAGCGAACAAAAATGCACTGTTTCTCTGCTAGAATTACCTCGTGTGTATGACAAGGACAACTAAAATGGGCAGACGGGGTTGAGGGAGAGGTTTAGTGAACAACACTATAGATTTTTTTTTTCCCTCCCCCACCACAGCCTGGTTTTCATTGAAGGAGGACCTAACTTGTAGTAGCTTTTAAGACGTGCATGTGAACTTGCAAGACGCATTTGACGAAGTCTAGCAAGCGATCCTCCAAATTCTGGCAGATGCAAACTATATCACTTATCAGCTTTACCCTTTCCACTGTACAATACTCACAATTACCATGAACGCTAAGATGAGAATATAATGTGTAGTAGTAACTAGATCACACATTTGTTCCCACAACATATTCATTTTATTGTATCTGTTGACCTATATTAGTGAAATGATGCAAGGATTAAGGCTTTAAACATCTTTCAGTGGAAAGTGCTATTTTAACATCTGACGCATTTTAGCAGTTTCAAGTGCAGTAAAGTCAAGCTCCTCCAACCCCCAACCCTGACATGATGTTTGCCTCTCTTTCTACCCTGGGTGGTTTTTATCCATATAAATACTATTAAAACCATGTGGAAAACCATACCTTTAAACTTCATATAATTGCTAGCTATTTCATACATATAAAGACCTGAACTACACAAAACTCCTCTTCATATACCTGTTTGCATAGCTGTATTGAAAGAAGTTTTGTATTCTTTTGTGTTCTTTAATGAATTGTTTAGAGAAACTGGTGTTTCATTTCACAGTTAAAAGAACTTTATTACTTGAATCGTGGAGACATGAAAGGCAAGGGAAGGAAAGAAAACATCTCTCTCATTTTAAACTTTTCTTCCACAAGCTAATTTGATAGTATAACTTGAAAGTACAGAAATCTGAAATCTACTTTTGAGCATTTGAAACTTCACATCTTTTTACCCTCTCTCAAGAGATATTACTCAGGTTTAGCGTGACATTTTGAAATGTCACCACCCCTGTCTCAAAACCAGAAGTTTTAACGCAGAATAGACACCTACCTGCTTTAATTCAGAAATCCATTCTATACATGATGTGATATTCTAAGAACCTCTGTGCATATCCTTTCTCATCTTAAGGAAAGAAAAAAAAATCACAGGAATCTCTTTTCTGTCCAAATAAACAGAGACTGCTAAAATCAGTGGCTAAAGTCACTTTCCAAAAGCCTTATTATTCTGATACTTCCACAAATTTTGAATGAAAAATATTTTTTGGGGGAAATATTTTCCCCTGAAACACACTTTTGCCATGTCAAGAAAGTAACATTATTTTCTCAGTTAAGACAGAGTAATTTTGCTTTTGCTGGAAGGCTGAAGTTGGAAAAAGTGGTAGTACTTGACAGAGATCCATTCAAATGTCACATTTCATCCATTTGCAGCACCAGAACAATGGCACTTACGGGAGACCTCACGATCACTAACGCGGTTCTCTTTCTGGCATGATCTCATAATCATCAATGTAATATTAGACTTATACAAGTATGTACTCAGTTTTAACATCTACATATGATAGCACATGAATAAAGACATTCTGTAATCTACTGCTAAATTTGCAAGCAAACTAACATCTAGGTTCTTCAGGGAGTTTAAAATCATTACACGTAAAAATGTTCAGTTTGGAAAGTACCTATGAAAGGGATTAATCTATCCTTTTCTTGTCCAGCCCCTTGATTTGGTAAATTATCACTGGCAAACTCTGACATTTGCTTAAAACATTCTCTAAAGTGAAGAGTCATGTTTTAGCCCTAGAACTCTTCTAAGAGTGTGCTAATACACTTGTACAGCCAAGATGCAGATTTTCCTAAATATCGAAACTGAAAAAACACCAGCTATTGGCAGTGCCATAAACATGGAGTTGTCACTCAGGCATCATTCACCATATAAGGAAATTTTTAAAAAAGGCCATAATTATTATGCAGGATATAAATAATACTGGAAGTAATGATCAAGAGTCTTTATCAGCTGATAGGTATCTGGCTGTCAGAGCAAAACACGCAGGGACACAGAACTGAAAGGACTTTCCCAGTCACTGAGTCCAATGACTGCTATCACAGGCAACTAGCTCTCACCCTTTTCATAACTTAACCTTCACAGCTCCCGAAACTCTTAGTGGAGAAGTAACTTGGTTTGAAGTAGCTCAATTGTTTTCCTTTCTATACATTTATTAATGGCTAGTTCATACTGCATGTTCCTGTACCTGACCTGTCCTTAAGAGTTAGTATTTCTTCACATTCCTGCAAGATTTCCCAATCACACCAATATATATTACCAGCAGTATTTGCATTTCTGCCACTAAGGCAGCACAGTCCCTATACTAGCCCGAATCTCTCCCTTCTGCACAGGGGCAGTCAAAACCCCCCACAATATTCCATGTGAGAACCGCAGCCCCTGCAGCAAACAATTCCCCCCCGCCTTTTCTTAATTTTCTGTACCTAATGGGAACCCAGGATTATATGTGCTTTAGCAGCATAATACACTATTGTATGAGCTCTACTCATTTCCCTTAGTCCTTCTCCTTAGTCCCTATGCCCACTCTGTATATTCAGTTCAACATCTTTTCCCATTCTCCCTTTTTCAGGGTTACTAAGCCTTCAGATGTCAAGTTCACATTACTCCCAGTAGTGGCAAGGTCATCTGACTTTTTACCAGTACAAATTTATTTTCTTTAGTATGCTCCTCCCCCCCCCCCCCAAGAATTCATGGAAATTAATTTAAAGCTAAAAATAGCCAATTTCTAGCTCCTAATGAAAAGGCATTGCCTTGTGTGCTGACTGACAGTGGGCTGAGTGAAAAGGCAGTGGTATCAAAGAAATAATTGGAAAATTCACTCTTTCTTCACTGAACACTCAAAAATGGAGGTAGGCATTGCCAAACAACATGAAACACAGTGAAGACAGCAACAAGCTCTGTGTTTTGCTCTTTTTTAAACTATAAACTTAAACTTAACTTGCTCGCCAGATACACTTAAATTCTAAATGCAGAGGACTCTGTGTGTGTGTGTATTTGCCACTTTTCCTTAGCATTGAAATTAATTTAGTGAGCACTATGTTAGATTCTGACTAATTTAGACCAAATCTATTTTTTCCAGAAGTTACAGCATTTCAAAGTGAAGAAAAGCATTTAATTAAGCCATAACACACCTTCTGTTGCTATTGTTATTCACACACTAAGTAAAAGAGACTACCTGATTTAAATCACATTTTTGTAAAGAAAAGACGCCACTTCATTTTTGTGATGATGTGCTTTTGTTTAGATACAACATCCAAGCAGTTCTTTAAGAAGCTCCTACTTATTAAGTATTAATTAATTTTGTCACTCCATGACAAAGATCCTTATTTAGCTGGAAATAAAGACAGACTCAAACTTTGTTTTATTTTTTAATAAAGTTTGAATAGTTGAAATAAGAGGAAAGAGTATGTTTTAAAGCCAAGCTATTTCTTTGTTCCATGCTAGGCCTTAAAAGTTGGATTTATTGGCAAATACGGGCCATGAGAAGAGAGCTGTGTATTTAAAATGCTGGTGTAGAATATATTAAAATAGCCATAGCCAGTGATTTACTCCAGCTTACCTTAAAACAAAGGAAACACAGTCTTTACAGTTTTTCAAATGTACTGCCTCTTATCCTGGTTAACGGAAAAATTATCCCTACAAAAGACTTTTTTTTTTTAATATGAAGACTCTACAAAATATTTGCTTGGCAAGACTTTGAAATTCTCCAGAATATTTAGATGTGTCTGTCTAAGAAAGTTTACAAATGCCAATCCAACACTGTAACAAAAAGTCTAAACAGAACTGGAAATTAGAATAACTCAACCAAATCATCCCACTATAACAATACTGTATTTCAACTCTGCATAAACACCGATCAGCATGGTTTGTTTTGTTTTAAAACTTCTTCGTGACCTGCAGAATACAGCACAGGTTTATTTCACTATTACTTTTTCCCTTCCATTTCCTTAATGCTATTTCTTCATTTACATTCAAAACACTACCTAATTTGTCTACTGACTTTTTCTGCCCTTAGGGCTTTTTTTAGCCTCAATTCTATCCTCACCCAAGGATATCCTTCCCTTGAAGAGGTTTTTGTTTGTTTGATTGATTTTCATTTTCTTCTTTTTCAGATACAGGTAAGTATCCCACCATAAAAGCAAAGCAGAAAAGGGAACAGCACTGGGAGTTACCGGGACATTTGCAAGCCAACACTTTGAGTAGGAACTTCAACAGCTACTACTTTTGAGAGAAAAATGTCATGCTTTCTTTATATTTTATAATATTTGACATATTTGATAATATGTCTACTATAAACATAGTCTTGTGCCACAAGCAGCCACAAACTGCAGACAAAGGAATATAGCACACGGTTTGAAGAGTTCAGCGTAACACAAAAAAATGGTAGAGTCCTAGTAGCAGCTGCAATGGTAACAAACATTTAGAAACCAAAGCGATCCAATAACCTAAAAATACATCTGCTAAACTAAGGAAAAATCTGTGCAATGAGATTAGAAGCTTCCAAATTTCAGACTGATTGCTCAGGGACCACAGTAGAAAACTAAACTCAGATGTAAGGAAGTATTAGCTTGAAAAAGCCTCAGCTTTCCAAAATTCAAAATTGTTAAAAAGCAATACATCTGTTCATCATTCTATGATTTAACTGTTTTCTAGTCTATGGGAATAAACAGCAGGATACAATCGTTTGCAACATCCGTTTACTTTTTTTTTTTTAAACTTTTAAAACTAAATTAAGAAAATATTCTTACAGAAAAAAAATATTTAGATGAGCACAAAGAAACGCCATGACAAATCCTGAGACAAATTATCCTACATCATTGCTAGTCTACGAAAACTGGTTTGAATAATAAACATACTGGAGTATTCAGTGACAGCATACAAATCAAAAGTATTTGTAAATTATTAAGTTGTGCATGTTTTTAAATGACAAAACATGCTCACGGGTTTACTTTAAAATCTCTCACTGCTTATTATCAAAGTTAAAAGATCATTTGCATACCAATACACATACTGTAAACATGAACTTCTCATTAAGGAAAGATGGGTTTACAGTAATTTGATCTTTTACAAAAAGCTATTGGTAACTGAATCTCTCAGTGTCTAACTTTCTAGAAAATTAAACCAATGTTTCCACTCAAAGTTGAAACACTACCGCTTTAGGAAACAGCCCTGTTTATTTGTTAATCAGAAATACAATCAAGTGGCATATTTCCATTTGCTCTTCGGCTGACAGTTTCAGCTTCATTGTATTTTACAAGAAAACAGCAGACTTGCAGAGGTCCTGTAAATTCTTTCATATCGCAACTGATTTAATTACAGCGGTGAAGAAAAGCAGCGGTGATGCAAAATAAGATCAGCCCAATTGCCCTTATCTGATGATAGGATCTCTCTTCCTGTTTGGCTTGCAGCAGTGAGGACTTCTTGTTTTGTTTCGTTTTTTTGTTGGGTTTTTTTTCTGGTCAGGCTGCTGCTGTCAAGACTGACAGAAGCAAGAAGTTGACATGCCCTTTAACGCCAGCTTGAGAATGATCCTCATACCAATATAGCTGAGTTTCAATCAGTAGGTCGGGGAATGATACTAATGTGGAGAAAATTATCTGGATAGCTCATATGTTCGCTTAGCCACTGTATGGGTGTTTCCAGCATTGGCTCAATTCCATGAATCATCACTTGAGTCTTCTGCTCTCCATCTAATTCAAAGAAAAAGAGAAACCACTAGTATACCATTCAAAGTTCACAGAAAGATTAAACATTTACTTATACTTAATTTACGGTAGATTTAATTGGTGTTACAAAGTTTAACATTTAACAGAACGAAAAGCAGGAAATATTGGTATGGAGAAAGCTGAGATTTCTATCATCTAAAACAGAAACTCTGAATTAAAATGAATTCCAAGAAAAAATTGGGTTAAAATGAAACTTAATGAAAGCGACACTCTTCTTTATTAGTTGCAAGTTTTTCTCCTACAGTGATCACAGCTTGGTGTCAACACAGTTAAGGCATATCCATCTTGCCCGGCTATATGCCATACGAATTTTACACAAACATGCTTAAGATGTTGAGCCTCCTAAAACGTACTAACAAAGTTGTATTCTTAATACTGTGATCTCCTGAAAGAGCTGGACTACATGTAATGTCACACATATAATACACGTAATATTCCTGAAGTGATTTTATTTTGCTAAGAATAATTTACTTAAGTCTCTAGCAATATTTCAAAGTTACTCAGTAGGCTGAGTTGGCACCAGCTTTTTCTCACTTAGTTTCATCTCTTCGAAAAGCTAAGTTAGCAAATGATTCCCAGTATGACAAGAATATTTTCTAAGAATATTTCAATTCTTTTTATTTATACTTGTCCCGGAGGATGCAAGTACTTTGATCCTTTGATTCAAATGATGGGAACCAGCTAAAGCAACTGACATAACTGTCATGAAATGAACTAAAAAAACAAAAAATGAAAATTTATTTCAGAGTCTTGAGATGAGAAGAGCATCTGAAATATGCTCCAAATAATGGTTAGGGGAAAAAAAAGTAGGCAGTGACCTTTTACTGTTTTTATACCATACTCTGGCATTCTTACATGGACCTACCACAGTGAAATCCACATTCAGTGCTCAAAAATATCACTGCCTTCTCTAACTGGCATTTTATCCGCCTCCCCCCCCAGCTGTCTACATTACAGAACAAACCACCGTGCTGCCCAAGAGTTGCATGGAAGAGAGCAGAATCTAGAAGTGAACGTACCATTACTGGCTCTTTCATTCAGCTCCCCCAGTTGTTGCATAATTCCTATTTTACAACATAGATAAAATCTTATTTGTTTGGTAACCAAAATGATTTGACAAACTTCCTGAAGAAGTTTGTATTATAACCAGGTATCTATGCCAGCACAGGCTAAATTAGACTAGAAAGAATCATCCTTGACCATGCTGTTGACTTTACGCTAGTAATAACTCTTCCTGCAGAAGCAGACAGTTATGTTTGCCTAAAATAAAGCATTCTACATTAGTTACATGTTAACTACATATGGTATCATATTCTGTACAAATTCTTGATTAAATACATAAAGCTTGATTCTCTAAATGGCATAGTATACACATTATCACACTAAACTAAGCATAAACGATAGCTGCTTTCTGGTTTTATTGCAGACAGGTCAGAAGAATGCAGCATGTCATTTCAAAATAAACTTCTGGTATTTCCAACCAAAGCAGGTATTTATTGGGCTGAAACATTACCAGTCAGATTGTCAAGAGTATAAACTCCAAAAGAAAAGATCTCAGAAACCAAGTTTTTACACCGAGAAATTAGGGAACATCTAAATATTTTTAATATTAAAGCAACTCCCAATTATATGTATTTAACACTTTCAAATTAAAATCTATCTATGGTATTCCATAAATTCGCTGAAGAGTTGGTGACATTTATCTACATTTCATAATATTATTTAATTTTCAGAAACAACTAGTTTGCACATACAGACAGATGGCAGAATGCTGTTTCGGCATTAGTACTGTGCTAGCCACCTATACACAGCTGACTCAGCAAAAACTGGCACAAAAAAGTAGATTAAAAGCTTTAGAACTTCAGTAGCATTTTCTTGTCATTGGAGGAAAGGCTTATAAACTTGCTTTGGCTCTTCTTCTACTGTGTGACAGAACATTTTTGGATGGATGCGCATGTGCATACTAACTTGATGCCTCTTGCTTAAAAATTAAATGCAGTTAATCTGGGTGTCCCCATTCCCTGCTCCTACCCAACTTTGTCCCTTTCTCATACAAATCTTTTATTCTGTTCCTCAGCAAACTGAGAAAGTCTGAGGTCAATGAAGAATTTACAGTTTAATTAAAGTCTAAATCTCTGCATTAGCATTGTTTGTGCTTTAGTATTATCTCTGACAAAGCATCACTTCTCCTCAATTCCTTTTCCCCTTGAGGCTTGACTAAAGAGATCTTATCTACCAATTCTGTATTTACTGTAGCCTTCTTTCACAAAATCCATTGTTTTTACTTTAGCATTCTTCCCTCCTTTTGTTACTAGGGACCATAAACTCTCACTTAAGTCACATTTACCCAAACTTTCCTCAACTTTCATGTTTTCAGTAACTTCCCCATTTTGAATCACATACAGAGTCTCTCTCCTATAGATGGCTCCACTGCTTTACGTAGCAAAAAGTTGTCAACAGCAAATACACTAAAAAAATTACTGGAAAATATTCTTGTTTTCTCAACAGCTGTCTAATTCGTATCCACCATTACCACTGTGATCTGGATTCTGGATGATTTGCTAGCTATTATGAAAGCTTCATCCACCTGGTTTATAGATATAATAGATTTACATAATATTTTTCTTTCCATTGCTGTTCATAGTCTTAAGGGTTCTAGCTTATTTTGTATGCCTCTTGACACAGCAAGTGTTGTCCTCTTCTTCCCCACCCCATATTCTATGATAACAAAAAGTCTTTTTAGACTGACAAAATGCATCTATAGAAGTGTACAAGTTGCTAAACACAACATATATTTAAATGACATACAAGATTTAAATGACTTAATTACAAAGAAGATTAATGCCATGTCATTGGACCAGGCCTATAAAAATTAGGGCAAATAACTCTGCTCATCTGTAGTACATGGAGTTCAGACCTGATAATATCATTACTGTCAATACCATTTTTCAATATTCAGTAATGTAGTAAAAAAAGCCAGGATATGCTCAAAATTTTCCAGTCACTTCACTGACTTTTTTTTTTTCCTTTTAAAATCATGATAGAACTGAGTTACATGTTCGCTATCATGACTTAAAGATGGTTTCTTTTACTTTGTTGCAAATTAATGTAAGGAAGAAGAAGAAATGGAAATATCAGAAAAATAAAAGCATAGAAATATATGTTTCATAGGAAGTTTTTATAATGTGTACATAGTAACTATTTACTAAAAATCAGAGTATTTTTATATTACTGAAGTGATGTACAAATTATAACTACTGGTTTTGGCATTTACAAAAAAAAAAAAGCCTCAAAACCAATTAAGTCATCTCCTATCAGGGTGGTTGACCCAGGATTAAATGATTTTTCTTTGCTTTCCTTGTGGAAATCCATGAATACAGAAGTGTATGTTGTATGTATATATGTATACTACAGCCTCCGAAAGTCAGCAGTGGCAAGTGATAAGCACAGATTATAAAGCTTTTTGGTAAAACTTAACAATGTTCCGTCTCCAGAAGGCAGATAACTATGCTTACATGTTGTGTACTAAGGCATTTTTGAGACATTTCAGATCACTTAATTTAGACACTAATTCAAAGGCTGCAACACTTAAAGTAGGTACCTGACCCAGGCTAATAAATCATACCATGTATGTCAGAGGAGTTTTCCAAATCTGTACAGAAAACGGAGAGAAACAGGCAGCTCTCTGAAGTGCAGGGTTTAAGAAGAAGTCTGCTTCTCTATCATCTCTAAGTGCCTCAGTGTTCCTGATCAGGAAACCACCTTGATCCAGCCAAAGAAAGTATTGGCAAAGGACTCTCTTTTGCAGATAGGCATCTGCTGGAAGGAAGCAAGAGATAAGGACTCTGTTGAGATGCAACAGCCACCGAGGCCATGGCTCAAAGCCCTCCTCAACCTGAGGCAGCTTGAGTCCACTCTCCCTCCTTCAAGAAGAATGCCCTAACAACTACCAAATATTTGCTGTTGCTAGTCCTAAGCTTCCTCTAAAAACCCTCAATGTTCAAGAATTAGTGAGACACAGAAAGAACAAAGAAGAGAAAATCTGTAGTCTTCAGAGAAGGTAGGAAGATGTGCAATGTCATGGTATCACTTGGTAAGTTTTTCTATTTCATTTAGCTACATAAGTTATTGCTTGCGAAGTCAATAGTCAAATCTTAGGAAACAAAAGAATTAAATTAGCTTATTCAGCATCAATTCAGATTGTTGCACATACTCCTGATGCAATCTAAATACATTTTTCTCTTGAATTATCTTTTTATTTAGAAAGGAGGAACTGAAGATGGAGGGAAAATAAAAGATTGGTTTTGAGACAGATTCAAGTGCCTAAAACCAGAATAGTGAGAAGGCACTACTTCTGGCAAAGGTACATATTTCAGGCATTTTTCACTCAGATTAGCACCACAATGCTTACCAATGCTGCAGCTACATACTCCCTTTCACCTACACAAGATCAGCTTCTCTTAGCCAGACTACATCTGTGATGCACCACTTAAAATTCTTTAGTGGGATGAAATACCTCCCTTCTGATTTGTGGCCTCTAGCAATCACCTGTCAGGGCAATTTAACTGGCTTAAATTCTTTCACTGATAGACAATACAAGATATTCAGGATTTAGCGAAAACGTCCCTGGAGTACTTCAATTAGAATCCTCTGTATGCAAGTCCTCTGCATAGCAAGTCCCAGAACCTGCCTGTAGTCATCATAATGGACAACACAGAAACCACAGCTTCTTACTCAGGGCAGCACCACTTACAAAATTGGCTTTAAAACCCCAAAAAGGGAAACAGAACCCTGTGCTTCAAACTAGGAGCTAACAATGCACTTCTTGCATGATACAAGGCCACAAGAATATATTGGACAAGGATACTAAAAAGTGTAAGGAGTAAATATAACCAAGGAAAGTGTCATGCAGTAGCAGCCTTATGAATAATGTAACAGAACTAGTTTCCAGCTTTTTCAGCTGT